TGTTACAGTAGTGAGACCTGGACTGTGGACTTAGGCAGAGTAGGGTGAGGACCTTTGAAAAAAAGGCAATGCAAGATAATTACAGTCAGAACAATGTAATAATGTGCAAAGAAGTCCCTATCTAAAAACTCTGTTAAGCATTATGCAAAGTCAGAGTCACACGAATTCTGTAGGGTAGATACCAGATTAGGAATTTAGACATTCTTCAGTGAAATCCATTAAAGCTCAAAAGACCAGGAGCAACTTGGCCTGGAATGTTTGAATGTTTCTCAGACAAAGAAGAGTATCTCAGCATAGCCCCTGACTTCACTGTATCAAATAGATCATGACACTGTACAATTTGCCTTATCCTAGTAAAAGGCCCAGCTTATTTTTAACTGTACCTATCTGCTATTTTTCATTCTGTAATCCTAATCAAGTAATCTGGAACCTAGGCAAAAGACTAATCTGGTAAGCAATCCCAACTACAAACAGCCCAAGCAAACAGACAACAACCCAGCCCACCCTGGGGACAGGGCAGGTGGTCTTACAACAAGTCTGCACCCCAAGTCCTCTACCCCTATTCTTGAAAATCCTCAACAGCGCATAAAACCCCTAAACAACACACCAGCATGGGCTCTCTTTTGCCCTCCTGGCGTGAGCCTGGAGCTCTGTCCTCTCACTGTATCTCTAAATAAAAGCCTGTACCTTGCTCTCCTACCTTGAGTGTTTGCAAATTCATTCTTCAGCTCCGTGAACAAGAACCCTGGTATCGGTAGTACAATTCAAGACAGTGAGATACAGGTACAAGGAAAGACAGACTGACCAATGGAACAGAATAAATTCTGGTAATAGACCCATATATATATATATATGGTCACCTTATTTATGATAAAGGTACCACTGCAGGGCAATGATGCTGCCCCAAATCAGTTCCAGACAGTTTGACCCTAAATGTGAATGTAAAATACTTTTTAGAGGAAACAGAGGAGAATACCTTCTTGACCTTGGAGGAGACAAAGGTATTTTTAACAAGACACAAGAAGCAATAACCATAAATAAAAATTTGTAAATTGTAGTATATTAAAATTAAGAATTAAAATCAAATAGCAACATTAAGAAAGTGAAAAATCAACCTATACATTGAGAGAAGATATTTTAAATATGTATATATATATGATATGAGATTTATACCACAGTACATTTAAAAAACTTCTAAGAATCATTAAGAAAAATGCATCTCAAAAGAAAAGGGGGTAAACAAGATGTGGAAGCAACCAAAATGTCCACCAATAGATGAATGGATAAAGAAGGTGTGCTACCTTCACACAGTGGAATATTATTCTGCCATTTGCAACAACATGGATGGACCTAGAGGGTATTATGTTAACTGAAATAAGCCAGGCAAAGATAAACATCATATGATCTCACTTATTTATGGAATCATAAAACAAAACAAAACAAAAATGAATAAAATAGCAGTAGTCTCATGAGAAGTGATTGGTGGTTACCATAGGGGAGGGGTTAGGAAGAATGGGTGGGGAGGGGGAGGGGAATAAAGGGGTGAAAAAACTCTCAATCATAATATAAGTTTGTCACAGGGAAGGTATTACAGTATGGAGAATATAGCTAATGATTCTGTAACATCCTCCTATATTGACAGATACAGATAGTAACCCCACTAGAAGGGGTGAGGATTTAATAATGTGGGTAACTGGTGAACTGCTATGTTGTATACTTGAAACAAATACAAGATTATATATCAACTATACCTCAATACAAAAATAAATACATAAAAAGAAAAAGGAGCAAAAAATGTGATAAGCCACTTAACTAGAGAGGATATTCTAAGGGTCAGTAAACATAAGGAAAATTGATGAAAGAGACTACTACCCTCATATTACAATGGTTACACTGGAAAAGAAAGAAAACATTAAGTACCAGAGGTGAACGAAAAAACTGGAACTCTTCTACACTTTCTATAAGAATGTAAATTCCAATAACTTTAAAGAAACACTTTATTGAGGTATGATTGCATGTAGAAAGCTGCGCATATTTAATGTATACAACTGGATGAATTTGAATATTAAGCATACATCTGGGAAACCATCACCATCATCAAGGCCACAGACATATCCATTACCTACCAGTTTCTTCATGTCCCTATTCTTCTTCTTCTAACACTTAACATAAGATTTACTCTCTTGGCAAATTTTAAATATTCACCATAATATTGTTAGCTATAGGCACTATGCTGTATAGTAGATCTCCAGGACTTATTTAACTTGCATAACTGTAACTTTATAACTTTTGACCATAGTCACCATTTCCCTCTCTCCCATTCCCTGGAAACCACCATTTTACTCTCTGCATTTATGTTTGACTATTTTAGATTCTAACAAAAGTGAGGAAAATAGAGTATTTGTCTTTCTGTGTCTGGCTTATTTCACTTAGCATAATGTTCTCCAGGTTTATCTATGTTGCCACAAGTGGCAGGAGTTCCTTCTTTTTTAAGGATAAATAATATTCATTATATGTACATACAATATTGCACATTTCTGTCCAGTATTTACATAACTTCAGACTGTTTTCCATAGTAGCTGCACCAGTTTACATTTCCACCAACACAGTCTAAGAGTTCCCTTTTCTCCACATACTCACACTTTTTTTTCCTTTAACAATAGAATCCTAACAGATGTTAGGATAATATCTCATTGTGGTTTGATTTGAATTTCCCTGATGATTAGTGATGTTGAGCACCTTTTTGTGTACCTGTTGGCCATTTGTGTGTTTTTGAGAAACATCTACTCAGGTCTTTTGTCCATTTTTAAATCAAGTGTTTGTGTTTTCACTACTGTTATATAAGCTCTTTTTTTTGGATATTAATCCCTTATCACATGTATGGTTTACAAATATTTTTTTTACCAATACATAGGTTATCTTTTCATTTTGTTCTTCCTTTTGCTATAAAGGAGTTTTTAGTTTGATGTAGTCCCATCGCTTTTGTTACTTGTGCTTTTAGTGTCATATCCAAGAATTACTGTCAAGACCAGTATCAAGGAGATTTTTCTCACTTTCTTGTAGGAGTTTTATGGTTTTAGGTCTTAAGTTTAAGTCTTTAATCCACTTTGAGATGATCTTTGTGTATGGTCTGAGAAGAGTCCAATTTCATTCTTTTCCATGTGGACATCTAGTTTTCCTAGCACCATTTATTGAAGAAACTGTTCTTCCCCATCTTGTATTCTTGGTGTCCTTTTTGAAGATTAATTGACTGTACATGTGTAGGTTTATTTCTGGGCTTCTATTCTGTTCCACTGGTCTGTGTGTCTGGTTTTAGTATAGCTTCATATGTTTGATTACTGTAGCTTTGTAACATAATTTGAAGTTAGGAAATGTGATGCCTCCAGCTTTGTTCTTGCTTAAGATTGCTTTGGCTATTTGGGGTCTTTTGTGCTTCCATACAAATTTTTAAATTGTTCTGTTTCTATGAAAAATGCCACTGGAACTTTGATAGGGATTGCACTGAATTTGTATTCACTGTGGCATTTTAACAATATTAATTCTGCTGATCCATAAGCACGGGATGTCTTTCCATTTATTTGTGACTTTTGCAATTTCTTTCATCATTGCTTTCATATTCAATGTACAGCTCTTTCTCCTCCTTGGTTAGATGTATTCCTAAGTATTTTATTGTTTTGATGCTGCTGTAAATGGGATTGTTAATTTCTTTTTTCAGATAGTTGTGTTTTGCAACAAAGTGATATTTGTACGTTGATTTTGTAACCTGAACCTTTACTGAATCTCCTTATTCTAACAGTTTTTTTTTTTTTTAGTGACGTCCTTAGGGTTTTCTTATATAAGATTCTTTCTTCATTTGCATCCACCTCGGTAAGGAGATGTTACCTTAATACTCCAACAAGGACAGCCTTACCTTTAGCAGCCGCCCGCGCCTGCGCACTCCCCGGGCAGGACCTCCCACAAGTCCCTGGGCTCGGCCCCCTTGGGGGCGGGCCCAAGTTACGTGCCTCTTCAATCTGAGCTGCGCCGCCCTGGGCTTCTGAGGCTCTACTGTGCAGTGGCTGCGGGAGGCGTTGGCTGTCTAGAGCCCCAGCTTCACCGAGCGGCCGGCACAGGTGGGCAGACGCGGGCCCAGGGGTACGAGCGCCGGGAGCTGGAGAGGCCGTTGTCTGAGTTGCGGGAAGGGGTGGTGGACGCGGGTGCGGGAGCGAGCGCGTGAGGGCGCCCAGCGTGCCCACGCCGGCCATGGCGGCATCCATGTGCGGCCGGCACCCGAGGAGCCGGCGTGTGGGCAGCGGGCGTGCTTTTCTGAGGCAGTGTGAATGTCGCTGGGACTCGTGGCCTGCTGCTTTCCTCCGTCTGTCCGCTCACAGCCACCGGGGCCGCAGCAGATGTCATAGTAGGGACGTCAGACAGTCCAGAATCAAAGTCTTGCTTTCTCTTTGAAAGCACGGATCTGAACTTGAGATGGGGATTTTAGAGCTGGAAGTGTCTGTGAGGGCCCTCCAGGAAGGCAGTTACATGTTGAGAACCTCAGCATTCTCAGACCTGTCCCCAGGAACTAGCTTCGAACTCAGGGACCAAATCCTCCTTTTACTTCCATTCCATTTTGTGAGAAGTAAGCGAAGATGTGGCCGGGGAGGGTGCTTTCAAATTTTGTCTGTGCTTCAAGAAAGGCCTGGGTTCTCTCAGTCTTGCATTCTTCTTATCCAGTCATACCATTATCCAAAATGGCCCTATGGGTAAAATTCCTGTATTTCCAGAGTCTCTCCCCTGGCCTTAGTTCATCTCCATATCAATAGGTGTTTCCATGGGGTGGAGGAAAGTAGTCTTATCCATATCAATAGGTAATTACCTGGTGAGCCGAGGGCTTATCTGGACTGGAGAGGTTGGGTGGCTTCTGCAGCCGGGTCGCGAGAGACACGGGGAGGGTAAGTGGAGGACTGTTTCTAAGGAAAAAAAAGGGTTTCTCCCCCTTTATTTCTCCCTTTGACCTATTTCAGCTTCAAAGGTATTTTGCCCCGGGATTTTGCTCCTGGAGTTACAGACCCCAAAGAAGCTGAGAGTCTTACTGCGGCACATCTAAAAGTCCAGGGTGAGTTTGTGCTTTGTGTTTTAAGAAATTGTGGTTTTGTTTTTAAAATACAGAGGTTCCAGTAAATTTTCAGTAGATGAAGGAAGCCATGCAGATTGGTACTCCACCGTTGTGCTCCCCCATTGTCCCTCATCTCCTAATGTTCAGTTAGCTATTTGGAACAATGTTCACAGCTTGTGCACTCTCGTTTTCTAAGATAATACGGAAACAAACCTCCAGAGATTAATGTTAAAGCTTTAGTTTAGACTGATTTGGTAAGAAGGCAATTACTGTTCAAACGGAACCACATACTAGATACCTTTTGGTGTTTGTATGCCTGCTCTTCAAAGCAAGGGAAGAGTGAAGATGATTTGATTGTTTCAGTCTGTGAGGCTTTCAGGAGTAGGAAAGTTACAGCAACAGAAGCTGGGATCAGTAAGGCCAGGATTTTTCCAGGGACTCCCCCATCAGTTGGAATTTGTAGTACCGGTCAGGTGTCCTTTGAGGTTTGGCACGCCACCTTGTGTTTTGAGCTGATTTTTGTGTGGACTCTGAGGAGCAGTATAATGGTGTGGTAGGAGCCAAAATTTCCGGATTGGAATCGTGAGTCTGTCTCTTTCTGGCTCTGTCAGGTCTGTGATGGACATTAGAGGAGTAGAGCTAGGCATATCCTGAGTGCTTGATATGCTTTAGTTGTTCTTTATGTGTGGTCATTTTAGCTAGTTCCCCTCAGCTTTGTATAGAATTAGGAATATGTGATCCACGTACTCTAGGAGTGTTAGGAATGTGATCCATTGTGATGGCTGCCTGCATGTTAAGAAAATGAATGAGATGCCCAAGTAATCTAAAATGGAAATTCTTAACCTGAGTTCCTGTGATTCCATTTATGGTCTCGGGACCATAAACTCACTGAAATCGTATACTGAAATGTTACAGAAATGTATAAGGGTGTATTTTGTAGGGGGGGAGAAAGTATGTAATTTCATGAGATTATCGAATATGTGCATGACCCAAAAGGCTTGGACTCATTGATGTAGACCAGTGATTCTCAATGGAGGGCGATTTTACCAAGTGATCAATGCCACGATTGAGAAACCCTGGTCTAGAGTCAAAAGACTGTGATACCTGGAGTAACATTTAAAAACAATCTTACACAAACTGAGTAGTTAAGCAAATCATCCTAGCCCCATGTGATAGAATATTATGCACTTAATAAAATTATGTTTATAAAGAATCTTGAAAAATGAAAACATTTGGTATGTTAACCAATATTCATGTTATGACCAGCAGTACTCAGGAAAATGTTGTATATGGATCCCGTTTACTAAACGAGGGCATTCTGTAAGGATTATGTCCAAAATTATACTTTAAGTGGTTATTGGGTGAAGAAGAGAATCAAGGATGGTACTGTATATTCCATGCATCTTCTCACTCAGTTTTACAGGTGCCACTTCCTTGCACTGTGTTCTTTTGGAGAATAATCTTGATAATGAAAATTGTCTATATTGGTGAGATGCATTGTAGCTGAAGGATTTTTCAACTAGTTGAAGTTACTTGTTAAAGGCACATAGATTTCTTTGTTGACCCTCATGATAAGTCCTGATTTTTAATGATTGGGAATACTGACTCCCTGATAATCCTCTCATTTTTATTTTGTAATTTCAAAGTAGTTTTAGTGTGGATTTTTGGTGCTGGAATAGTGTGGAACTATTCTTTTTAAGGAACTTAAAGTGAAGAAAGTTAAAGTTACAGCCCCTCTCTGGAGAGATGGTCATTATTGATACTTTGTTGTTTTCCAGTTAGGTTTTTATATGTGGATATGAGAATTTTGTTTCTGTAGAATAGAATCAGTTTGAAAAACAAATCCAATCTACTCATGGTTTTCGTTCTTTGAGTTAACAGCAAAGTGTGCCTGTCCCTTTGAGGCCTCTGTGCTTTGGGGCACCTTTGCTCCTTGTTATGAGAGCTCTTTTGCAAATGTTATTTAAGAATTGCATTTTCCAGGCTAGGCTCTGAATATTTTGGGTTGACATTCTAAGAAGGAGCAGGCCTTAAGCTATGTTTTACTATATAATTTACACACACAAAGAAACAGTAGAATTAAGTTTCTTTAACAAATGCAATCTTTATCCTCGATGATGATGATAACACACATTTAAGTGTCGTTATGTGTTTTAATTGAATTTTCTTACTATTCTTCTGCTTACTCTCTGTGCTGGTTACTCTCTATTTTACTAATGAGGAAACAGAGGCACTGAACAGTTAACTGTCCTAGTTTAGATTCACATCCTGAATATGAAAACAAAACTTGTGGGTTTCTCTTTTTTTTTTTTTACTGATGATAGGCTACCACATATATTGTTTACCTTAAAAATTTTTTTCACATTAAATGCTTTTGATCTTCATAAGAATTTGGATTAGGTAGGAAAAGAATATTATGTCCATTTTACGTCTGAGGAAAGTAAATTGAGGCTAAAATTCAGGTAACAGTAGCCACTGCATCAGGATTAAATGAAGTCATGGAAGTTTCTGGCACAAAGCTGAAACTCACAGTACCTTAGTTTCTCTTCCCTAAGTGAAATGGGTGAAGGGGATAAAGAGGTACAAACTTCAAATTATAAATTAGTCACAAGGATGGAAGTATAGCATAGGAAATATAGCTAATAATATTGTAATACCTTTGGTGACAGATGGTAACAACACTTATGGTGAGCATTTAATAATGTATATAATTGTCAAATCACTGTGTTGTGCATCTGAAACCAATATATTGTATGTCAACTATATCTCAAAAAAAATGAAAGATTGAGAGATACAGAACTTAAGATGTATTAAGCTCTAGACACATTGTAGGAACTCAGATATTTTAGTTCATGGGAGTAAAATTAAGTATACTTTTAAAATTTTGTCTCATTGAGTAATCATGAATTTTTTACTTCTTCAGTTAATGTAGACCATCATAATGAATAATGGACTGGTATGCCATCATATAGCAGAACATGGTTTATTTAACCATCTGTCCATTGTTTGACATCTAAGTTTTAATTATTGGTCATTATGGAATATTCTCTGATGATCATCCTTGTGCATATGTCATGTGTGCTTCCATAGCTGTTTCCTGTGGAAAATTCCCAGAATTGCAATTTGGGTTAATCCTCAGATGCTTATGTACCTACAATAGGGCGGATACTGTGATAATTTTTGGAGGATGTAATGATGAAAATTTCTTATTATTACAGCAAAGAAGGTAAAATCTGAATAAGGGTAAGGCAGAGTATGGAAAAGCCCATTAGAAAAATTCCTCTAGCATACTTGAAGAGTTTACAGGAAAGAGACATCTTTTAGTCAGTAGTCACCAGGCTTTGATCACACTATAGTAAGCCCATGGGATTTCTGTAGAGTTAAATAAAATTATATTGTAAGATTTGTATCTTAGAAATTCTAAATATGTTAAATGCAAAGTGACTAATCACAGAAGGTGATTCAGCAGCTGTTTAGAGAACATTATGGCTAAAATGATAGGTTTAGAAACAAGCCTTTCTGTTAAGAAGGCATGAAGGAAGCAGCAGTGAGACTGTCACTAAATCATATAAGACTCTGCTTGGGGACTGTAGACTCTTTTTTTAAGAGTTATTCTAACATACTCGGATAAATATAGATAGCTCAGTATTGGTTCAAGAATTGAGAAATAAAGGAAGCAAACCCATTAAGTAAAATCAAGTGTTCATCAGGGTATCCTGAGTTCCCCTCCCAAGCTCAGGGGGAAGCCATCTAAGTAAAAGGTTATCTTTCATCCGGTGTGGAGAACAGTTTCCTCATAGGAAAAGGAAGAAAACATACAAGTGCACACAACCATGTATATGTCTCTATTTGAATATAACTGTATAACTATATATATGTTGTAAGTTAATGCCTGGCCATACTTAACAACAATTATGAAGCACTTTCAGGCAAAAAGTAGAGAATTGGGGCCACAATACAGAGATAAGAACTGTTGACATTGCATGTAATTTTCTAGAATTTTTTTTGCATCCATGTCAAGTCAATCTTTATCTGTATATACATTTTACAAATGTAAGTCATATCATCCTCTTTTGTAACCCCTGATTTTTTGGCTGACCATATATCTTGAACACTTAATCACCCAGTCACCACTGAGTATTCCATTACATGGATATTCTGGCTTTGTTGGCCTCAGACAAACACAGCCTGGGCAATTCCAACCCTACATCTTTTTGTTTTCACACTTGGCCCCACTTCCCCCTATCCTGAGTTCACAAAGAGATTGTGGTTTGGATGATGTGGCCCCTTCTCAGCCCTTAGAAATGGGACTAGTGGAAGACAGTCCGCACAGAGCAGGATGAGGGGCCCTGTCCTAGGCCTCGGTATGCGTCCTAGGAATAGAGGACAGGCCAAGGCCCTTCATGCTGAGATGTTTTGGAGGACAGCGGGTTCCCTGGAGATTGGGGGAGAGCTGGATTCTGTCCAGACTTCTCTTGCTGCCAGTTTGTACAAGAGAGAGCCTGTGTGTGCGAAGGGGGGCAGCATGGAAGAAGTGTCTTCCAGGGTAGTTGAGACATAGAAATGGAGGAAAAAATTGTTACAGTAATTTAAGTCACTTGGAGAGCACTGAGCCAAGGCTTGGCTTAACCTTCCCCCCGCCTTTTTTTTTTTCTCTCTAGGAGAGGAAGCATGAGGAAGATTGGTCAATGTTGTAACTCTAAAAATACATCCCATGTAAGTTGGTATTTCTTCTCCTTGAAATAAGACTTTCAGTTCAGCTGACTTATTTGTTACTTATCCTGAAGCTTCCTACCAAAGGGTCCAAGATCCCATACTTCAGTTTGTCCCATGACAGTGAAGGCTGGTGAAAAAGAAAGCTCAGTGTTCTTCCCATTTATGCCTCTCTTTTCCAAATGGTGTTGATAAGTTTGAACACATTATTCAACATCTGCTCCATGCTAAGGCCTCTGTTAAGAGAAACATTGGAGCAGCGAGTGTCAGTTCCCACAGGGAAATGGGAGTTTGTGGAGTTTGAGAAGTTAGAATGGTTGTCTCATTTGGCCACAGTTGGGAAAACCTTGGAACTTCTCCACAGACTTGCGCTTTCCAGGGAGTAAGGTAGAATTTGATATTGGGTGGCCTCAGTGTGTGACAAGATGATCTACTTTATGAGGCTGTTAGGAAAATGTTCAGTAAGAGCAGTAGGTAGTAACAGGAGGTCATCCAGTATGTAGATCACAGGTAATGATAAAGAATGATAAAATCAAATGTGTCCATTATATGGACTCTTATGCAGCTTATAAAAATGCCAGGACAAGAAGATATGCTTTTGTTATCTTCTAATATAATGAACTTGAGGAATGAGAACATTGTCAACTTTATGCAGCCTCTCTTTTCTAAGGTATTTTTCCTAAAACTTTTCCTAAAAGTTTCATGAAAGTTTCCCCCTATATCTTAAAAATACAGATGGTATAGAAATGCACTTTGCACTTTTAATGAGCATTTGTGACAGGCTCATAGCAGGCACTATGCTTATTTAGTAGGGAAATTCAGACATTTTATCCATTCCCAGACATGCTGGGATAAGTGAGTTAGCCCACAGTATGTAAGAAGTTTGCTGTGTGGCAGCAGGATCCTTAAGAAAGTGTAGGGCCCCTGGGAAGTTCTGTGTCGCTACTTTTCTGCATTGCAGTCCTTTACCTCCTCTCCTCTCACCCTGAAATGCTTTCCTTCAGTCACTGTAATGCATGTGTTTGTGGTTCCAGGGAGCCGTGACATTCAGGGATGTGGCCATCGACTTCTCCCAGGAGGAATGGGTGTGCCTGGACTCTGCTCAGAGAGCCTTATACAGGGATGTGATGCTGGAGAACTATAACAACTTGGTCTCACTGGGTAAGACTTTCTCCCCCAGTATTATTTCTAAATACTAACCAATATTAAATATAAATTAATATTGAGTATTTATAATTATTAATAAATTCATAGTGTCTTTTCTCTGTAATACCAGCTTTCTTCACCATGAGTTTCAGCTCTGTCTCTTAAGAAATAGCTTAGTTCCTTCTTCTTGTTCTTAAAGGAAATAGTTTGGGATTTATTGGGTTGAAATGGGCACCTCCATGAAGAGCCTGCATCTTGCCCACCCCGCAGTGAGCTTTCTTCCTTCTGCTGTTCCTCTCTGTAACTGAATTTGGAGTCTGCATTGCGTTGTCTAAGAAACCAGATTTTATATTGCGTTTGATCTCAGAATTACTGTAGATGCTGTGGGGGTTTTTTCGGACCCACTTGCAAGGAGAGCAGGATTTGGATTTTCTATCAAAAGAGCCTCTTATGATTTATATAATATTAATTGGCTCGACTGAATTCATTTAAAACTGAAGTGGACATATTCCTTTAATAAATATTTCTTTTTTTTCTGACAGTTATGACAAAGGGTTTATAGTTATTTGCAGATGAAATGAATGCACCATCCTCTACTTGAAAGGCTCTGACAAGCCTTAAGCATATTCAGACTGTACCAGAGCACTGCCACTGCCTCGTTATATTATGCACCCATTTCAGGAACCAACACTTCGCTCAGCATCAGTTTGGCACTGTTTCTGGTTTATTATATGCTTCCAAAAGAATGAAAGTTTCCAAAAATATTTGCAAATATTGTGGTTTATTCATAGTACTGCTTAGGCATCATCTTCCTCTTCCTCTTCTTTCTCCTCAGTATTATCTTCAAAGCCCTTGCTGCCCTCCTGGTGTTCAGCCCCCTCTTGCTGTATCACACTGTGGGGGATTTTTTGGCACAGGCTTAGCTTCCAGAAATTTCAACTTCAGTAGTTTAGTCTGATCCAAACCCATGTAAGATAGAAGCCTTGATCTGTTTTGGAAACTCAGAAATACTGTGATAATTTCCAGGCTTGCCTGGCACAGGAAACTTAAGTTCTACCTCTTCTGTATCTTTAAGAGCACACACGTGATGTGGTGTAGCTATTCTTGTCTGTTCCTTCCTGTCTTGGAGTATAAAGCCACCACCACTTGTTTTTCCGCAGGAAAGTGAAGACTGTGAACGGGGCATGCTGTCTTTGAGCTGGTTGCCTGTAGAGCTCTCTCCCCTTTGCCTGTGTGCTGCGTTGTAATTCTTGCTGCCCTGTTTCATGTCTTTGTTTTGTTTTCCATCTTGCTCTCTGTCAGAGTCTCTGTCCTCTTTTTCACTTTGGGACTCTGTTGGTTTTTCCTTCTTCGAATCACTGCCTTGGTCAGAAACTTTGTCTTCCTTTACTGCGGCCTCCCTCCCAACGGCCCCATTTGTCTGCATTAGTTTCTGTTGCTTTGACTGGTAAGGGCATGGTGTATGTTTGTTTGTTTTTTAAGGTTTCTTTTTTTTTGATCGAGCAGTTTTCGTGGGTCCTGTGCCTCTCTGTTACCACTGTCCTTTTGTCCTGTTCTTGTTAGTATTACCCTGGCCGTCTTCTGCTGGCTGTTCCTCCGTAGTCCAGATGGGCTGCTCTCTTCCAATACTTCGGCTGTTGTTGGCCAGCTTAACAAGCACTGTAACTGGGGAGCCATCTGTGATGTCATTGCTGTCTTCATTATCTAGTAGCTGTCGTTTTATGTCCATAGGCACTTATGGGGCACTCACCTCTTCATATTTCTCATCTTGAAGGAAGTGGAGTAGATTGTGGCGATCTGTTTCTTTTAAACTCAGCAAAGCCTGGATAGTCTCAGTTTTGTACTGTAGAAATTATAGAAACTCTTTGGAGATTGTCCTCTTCCATGTGAGGAAGCTGCTGAAGAGACAACTTAAACTGAAGAAGGCCTTGCACAGCCATCTGAGAAAGCTTCACACAGTTTTCTAGGGATGTCACAGTTAGAGAGCAAAACTCCCTTTCTTCACAGCTCCGGGTCATTATTAGTTGGCAGATGACATTCAGTGTTTCTTGAAGTAGGGTAGGACATTTTTTTTTCAGCATAAATTGCTGATATTCTTCAAGAGTCTCAGGAATTTTCATTCCAGTTAGATGAGACTGTAAAAGAACTCTGGCCTTCAGGCTTCATGGGCAGGTAGGTAGAGGCTCCTTTAAGTTAATTCTGCCAATCTCTCTGATTAGCTGAGATACGAGAATATTATCTGTTGGTCTGCTTGTGGCATCTTTATTACACTGAGGATCAAATTTAGAGGCTCCAGCCAATACCATGATAAGATGTTTCATATCCATATTTGGGGTTTTATAAACAAAGTATGTGTAGATCTGTTGTACGTATTAGAATCTGTTCTCTACTCTTAACATATTGAGCAATACCACCATGCATCCATCACACCTGGAAGGATAACCTTGAATGCCAATCCATGTACTACCAAAACCAAAATTGAATTTTCCTGGTCCACTGTCCAGCTGGCAGGGCAGTTCCAAAGCTCATGGTTTGAGGCCCATCTGAGTTCCCAAACTCTTCCAGTTTTTCTGGGACTCTTCATCATTTGAAGCTGCATAAACGCTTGCTATCCTCATAAACATAACTTCATTGCCTCTTTTATCTGGATGACATTTAAATGACAGCAAATGATACTGTTTCTTAATTTTTGTGACTGTTGCCTTGGGATCCAAATTTAATACTTCATAAGGATTGTATTCTTGATAGTCTCGATCTGTTTTGGAAACTTTGTATGCAAGGAATAAGAACAATGCCCATCCTGCAAACAGAATTATTTTCTTTAGAAATAATATGTGGCTGGGTTTCAATAACCATAAGCAGTACCCCATACATTTTCCATATACTTTTCTGATATTCTTTAATCAAATTTGTTTGGCATTCTAGTCCCAGGGCCAGAGGTAGTATGTGGCCGGGATCGCAATGAGCCCCACAAAGGTGACGCAATGGAGGAAGGTGTTTCCGCTGTCCCCAGATTGGAACTGCTGCCCTGCCACGGACCCCCCTCCACTGCCTCCCTCTGCTCACCCTGCCACAGCCGCTCCTCACTCTCTCAGTAAACATTTCTGTACTTGCTTTGTAGTAGACAGTTTCAGACCATGAAGTTTGTATTTTCATTGAATTAATATATTCTACGAATGAACCAAAACATCTAAGGAGGCAAAATGAATACCAACAATAAAAGTGATAGTTGACACTGTAGTACTGACTACATACCAGGCAGTGTCCAAAGTGTTCTACCTGTATTAACTAATTTGATTTTAATATCAACCCTATAAAATAGGTATTATTATCACCCCCATTTTAGAGATGGGAAAACTGAAGGACAGAGAGTTTAAATGGCTTGCCTAAGATTATATCGCTCCTGAATAGCAGAAGAGAATTTGAACCAGGCAGTTCATGTTCTCGACCACTAAGTTATATTTAATCTCAAAGGGTGGGCCATATATGAGTTTAAATGAAACTAAGTCCCTTTTCTAATCTGGCTGGTCTCTTATTCTCTCTGCTGTCCTTGAAGTCTTTTCTCAATATCATTTTGATTTTTAAAGTGTCATAAATTTAACTAGGTCCCAAAGTTTTTGTTTTATTTTTTTATATTAAGAAAGAATTCTACACCATGCATTATTTGTTTTCTTTTAAGCAGGAGCAAGTTCCATTTCTAAGCCACGTGTGTTATTAGAGCAAGAGAAAGAGCCCTAGGTGGGTGTGAGGAAAAAAACATGGGGATGGTACCCCAGTGAGTGAGGGGAAAGCTGGCAGGCGGCACCTGTCATTGTGGAGGGCAGCCCCCGTGGTCAGACAGCGGTTACACTCTTGAGATGTGGTTCGAAAAACTTGTTCCAAGACCTATGTTTTACCCTGTTGGATAGAAATGCCCGAGCCCTGACAAGGAGATAAAGATCACAGCATGAGCTGTCAAAGGAACGTGGTCTTTTACTAGATCACCTAGTTTTTATTCTCTAATTTTCCTCCCCTTATTGGAGAGCCTTCTTTCTTTCCCAGTGTAACCTTTTCACATATATTTTGCATCTAAATGCTTTCCAGCTGTGCTTTTACATTTAGATTTCCGTATGTGTTACCAGTGTCTAAAGAATGTACTCATAACGTCAGTGAACGTTTAACCAAGCAGGGCGCTGTTCTTGTCACTGTCGTTACGTGGACTTTACCTGCAGTTGGCAAGATGCGGATTAAACAACTAAGCAAGTGAATAAATCAGGAGTATCAGGAATCATGCTGTGCGGATGAGTGAATAAGAACAGTGGGTGGGAATGACGGAGCTCGGATGGTGAGGGAACACAGTCTTGAAGGGGGCATGCTTGCAGAGCTGGAAGGAAGGATTCAGGTCGCATTCCTGGACGAGAGTCCTCATCAGCCTGATCATACAGAGTGGGAAACACAAAGGCCCTGAGAGGGAAATGATCCCTGTGCGACCAGGAGCAGTAGGAAGGCTAGAGCAGAATTAAGTGAAGGGAGCATAGGAAGGGAGGTCTGAGAGTTAGGCCAGAACCAGATTGTACAAGGTTTTGATTGTCATTGTGAAAATATAAAATGTTTTCCAAGAGTTGTTACCTGTGTCCTGATTTATGTTTAAAATTTTCTTGATTTCTTAGTTTTTATCTTTAAACAAATGAAGTATGGCAAGAATACAAAAAAACCACGTAAAGCAAAGAACTGCATGATTAATTATGTTAAGGTGCACACACTTTTAGACACCAGGTCACAGAGTAGGATTGCCAGCTGTCCCAGACACCTGTCACATGTCTCTGCACTCACAAATCTTTCCCTTCCTGCAAGAAAAATTTTTAGAGTTTTATCACGTGAGTTGAGCATGTTTAGTCTGATTTTTGTTTTTGTCTGTAGTTTAAAAAAGTCTTATAAGTTTCTTTTAAATTATACGTTCCTTTTGATTTGATTGTTTTGAAAAGTTTTTTTCTTGATTAAAGTGGATTGTTTGGCCTGTAGTGTCCCACCATCTG